CTTAAACTTTGAACTACTAACTTGTTTCTGTGGAGTCCACATATTGTACCTTATAGAGTAATTTTATTTTTTTATAAATTATAATACTTAACTGTAAGAACTGACAAAACAAATTGGGTTAAATCACTCATTTGTTATGCCAAAATACATAGAGGACCCCAGAATTTATGGCACAAATAACTAGTGGGGTTAACTGCATTATTGATGGATTTTTTTACTATTTTTGGTGATTCATATGTCAATTGTTAGTCATTTGTGTCCCACACGGGTTAAGAAAAAAAATGTTAGAGGTATGTATTAAAAATTCACATTAAAAGAGTAAATAAGTTCACTGCAGTTTTGGGATATTCAAAATGATATGCTGGAATACAATACTACAACATGTGTTCTTCTGTATATTTGGGAAGGCCATTTGTCTAGTAAACTAAAAATTTGTACATGAATTAATAGCAAGTAATTCTGAGTTATGGGAAAAGAATAAAAACAGGATCAATGTTTAAAATTAACAATAAAATTTTATTTGGTGAATGGCCAAAATTAAAAAGATTACATATTTTTGTAGCTTTACGACCATCATCAGGGGTTGAAACCTACATGACAAGCGAGTATTTTTATAAGGAAGTGCTAATCCTTCATCTCTATTTAATTGGTGATAATGCACAGTTTTGGAAAGAAATATTGACTTCTTATGTACAGTACTCATTCCACCATAATATATTACAATGAGTTAAACCTTTTCCTTATAAAAATATCCACTTATCATGTACGTTTTTACTCCTGATGATGGTAACATAAAGCTATTGAAACATGTAGTCTTTTAATTTTGTCTGCCAGCCAAATAAAATTTTATTGTGCATTTTAAATGTTGATCCTGTTTTTATTTTTAAAATTTATTGTTCAATTTGCCATAATTGAATCTTATGGGAATAAGTTTTGTTTTGAGATATAATATCTGTACGCTTGCTGCTCAACTTAAAACCTAATTTGAGAGAGTTTTCTACAGCAACATTTCCATTAATTCTGTAAAGTATCACAAAATTTTTAATTACAGAAGGTGTTTACAAAGCCAGCATAAGTATTTGGAACTGTGTGTAAAGTTGTGTAAAGTATCGAGCAAAGTATTGTATGTTCACGTGAGAAGGAGCATCGGTATGGCATGAGATTGGCTTTTGAAAATGGCATTAGGTTCATTGCACAGAAATAGGTACAAATTAGGCTGGTATGTAAGCACAGTATGGTGCTGTGTCTAAAGGTTTGTTCGCTATCCAGGTATACAAGTGTAGATCTAATTTATCAAAGGTTCATCACGTGGTATTCATGCAGTGTCAGTTTTTTTTTGTTTTTTTTCTTGTTTCCAGAAACCCTTTAACACAGTAAATGTCATGCACATGGAAAATTTTGCCTCTCAGTTTATATAATGCTGGTTACTTCAAACAAATATTAAAAACTAAAATCTTGTTGTAGTACCATTTGATGCTGCCACTGTGCTTTGAGATAACATCTAGCAGCTGCATAGATTCAATAAAAGATATTGTATGAGAAGTGTTCTGGCATAACAAGTATGAAAAATGAAATATACTTTAACTTTAATATTTCTAATTTTCAAAAAAAAGCAACAGCGGCCCTATTCCCACTCCACCTCCATGTTCACCAGAGATAGAACTTTAATTGCTCCACTGCCAACTTTGTAGCCAAGCATAATATTTGGGAAGCAATGTATTGAAACTCTACCATTTAGATTTTTTGTTTCTTAAATACCCAAATAACAAAAAAAAAAGTTGAGTGTAAACTATGCAAAGTACTCTTATCTTACCATGGAGGCACATCCAATCTCTGGGATCACTTAACAGGCAAAAGTAAATGTTACAATTATTATTATTATTTGTAGTAGTATGTTAAATAATGAACCCATTTAATGTATGCAGTTTTACTGTAATGGAGGAAGGATGTGATTTATGAATTGGCTATTTTATTTATGTATCAAATACATGTAAATAAATAGCATGCATTTTTGATTTGATCTAAAGTGTAAAAAACATGATTACTGTTCTGCATAACACATCTTAAAACTACATGTAAGTCTTATTTCATGTAATATGCATAAAATAGAATTTCAAATGTAAACAAGCTGCTGCAGTGATGTCATCAATAAATTATGCAAATTGGTACTAACTCATGTTTTATCAAAAATCCAACATGTTGGTATGTCTGCAATTTTACATTAATGCAAAATGGTGTCCTAGCTCATATCCACCATCCAATAAAAATAATGCTCGTGCAAAATCTTGGTTAATGTTAAGTTCTCAGCCACCACTTTCATCATGCCTGATCTCACCCTTGTTTAGTAATGCTATTAGTTATGAGTTTTCTGAAGATACCATAACTCAACAAGCATTCCTCAACTAAAAGATGTCATTGTTACAGATATTTAGCCAACTCCTGGGATGGCACTATGTACTGCAACATTCAATATAGTTATTAGCTGTATTGTAATATAAAATGATGGTGACAGTACTGAACAGTTGCTGTAATGGCTATTACTACCATTTCCACACAGCATTCGAATGTACTTGCTTTCATCTCTATGGTCTTTATTATATTGCTTTAAGAATATGATAAGGAAAATAGTTCATAATTATTTTTGGTATTTATGCATTTTTTGAGAGATCATTTAGCATTTATGTTTAAAGTTTACACACCAAGTAAGCATAAAATTTTGGAATTTAGTGGCTTAAATCCCAGGATCCTGGCAGAGATTCCAAATTTTTTCTTTTATTTACATTCTGTTTTGTCTTAATGAAAAGTATCTACATTCCTTTCTTAATCTAAAGGATTAAAACATAGTGCAAACACAATAGATTGGTAAAACTATATATTTGTATTCATTACATAATTCAGTATGAGTTGTATGTTGTGTGTGTAGTTCAATTGTTGTAAATTGATGTCACATTAATCAAACCTTCAGAATTTTTCTCCTTGCCTTAAGTGGTTATTGTTACATCATAATGTTTCATAGTTTGTAGAAAGTTCTAAGCCTCAGTTGGGCAATATATATATATACACATAGACAACCAAGTGGGCACAAATTAAGTAAAGTATGTCAGAAAATGTGAAGTTAGCCAGCGTGTGAGTGATTAACCTTAATGAGTGAATTCTATAGTGTGATTCACAGCTGTATTGTAACAACAGAGACAGGATAAATAATTTGTCTTGTCAATTGGGTTTTAAAGTAACTGAACCAGCCTGTGTGGATTTTTAAGAAAAAAAGAGACAATTATATAAAACTCTGGTAACCAACAAAAAAAAGTCAGTAAAAAGTTTAGTTAAGTCAGAAAGCATTAAGTTAGTGAAAGTGAAGTTAGATTATATGATTGTTAGTTTGGCCACAACAAGCAATACTTAAAGTGAGTTTCACAGTTTAACAAAGATAAGGAGAATAATTTGTCTTGTCAAAGGGTGTTTTAAAGTAACTGAACCCATCTGTGTTGACTTTGATGAAGAATAGACAATTATTTAAAGTTCTGGATACAACTGTGGTAACCCACGGAGTTATGTAAGTGAATTTATCGCAGATTGTGCAGTAAGAAACAGAGTAGAGAATTTGTCTTGTCAATTAGATTTTAAAGTAATTGAATTAGCCTGTGTGGACATTTGACAAGAAAAGAGAATTATTTAGAGTTTTAGATAAAACTGTGATATCCTATCTTGTAAATAATTTGTGTGTGCGCATACATTTGACTTGTTTTGAATATATATATTATATTAGAATAAGTGGATTATGTGCTGTCCATGTATTGTTTGAATTTGTCACCAACAAATCACAGACACCTACTGTAAAAGAATCCAACCAACATATATATAACCCTGACAGGCATACTTGAGTCAAATCTCTTTTGCATCTGTGTCTGACTGCATCAACATCATCCTGCAATAAGGGTGGTTCAGCATTGAAAATTTAAACAATTAGATTCGAGTACAAGCAGATTTCTATTAGTTTTTTAAAGAAATTTAATAAAGAAACTGATTTTCATGTAATTTAGTTGAGTATACCCACTGTGAGAAGAACATATCAGTGACTTCTCTCTACTCCATAAAGGGTTAATACAATCCTGAAAAACCAGGATTCTCTTCTATAAATCTCAGGATTTGGAGAGTCCATTTGCTTATGGGATCCTGGGATTCTAATTTCTGGGATTGCAACCCTAATAAAAACTGCTGTTTTTCTTTTTTAAAACGTCAATATAATCTAGTACTGTGGAATAGCTCTATAAGAGCTTTTAAGATATTAGACATTTGATGTTACCTCTATACTTCCCCAGTGGCACAGCAGTAAGCCTTTGGACTTATAATGCTAGAAACTGGGTTTCAATACCCATGGTGGGCACAACACAGAAAGCCCATTGTGTAGCTTTATGCTTAACTAAAAACAAAACTTCTTACTTATGTGATACAATTTCATTCCTAGAATATAATAATTATTAATTTCTAAGTACTACTTCAGATGAGGAACAAAGCATTTTGTTTCTGGATTTTTGCTTAATAATATTTAGACTTTCTGCCACAATGTAGTCATTATATCTCAATTATGTAAGATATTTGGGTCATTAAATTTGTATGTGTGTAGATGTATATAGACAGATAGAGATAGGAGGAGGGAAGGAATATGCATATATGTCTATTTTAGCAAGCCTGTATTAGCATTACAAAAATCCTTCTTATAATAAATGATATAACACAAAGTAAATGTTATTTTATTATTGCTGTTATAAACATTTGGAAAATTGGGAGAAGCATATGTTGAAAATAAGTGATTGATATAATATATATATATATATATATATGATGATTTTGTTAAATTAAGATTTAATACACACAGTCCAATCAAATGACTTAGAATCAGTTATTTATGCACAGTTTGTTCTCAAACAAAAAATTATTTTTACCTTAAAACTGCCCTAAATTTGTTTGAGTATTCATTTAAAAAAAGTATTTTTTCCAAGGTCTCTTCCCACCATCAAAAGGAACTGCTTCTGTCAATGGTTACGACATTCTTATTGACACTAAAAAGGCACGGCAGAGCTTGGGACTGTGTCCACAGCACAATGTTCTGTATGATGATTTAACTATTGAGGAACATCTGAAGTTCTTTGCAGGGGTAAGTCAAGTTTATTCAGGATTTATTTTTCATTGCAAGCATAAGGTTACACGCTTTGATAAAATTTCCCAAAATTTATTGTATTATTGTAAATACAGTAATGACCTATGTCTTCAGAATGTATCTTTATTTTGCAATTACATTCTTGTCAGTAGCTATCAATAACCTACAAGATTGCTAATCCAGTTGAGACATTATCAGTTAATTAAACATTAATATATATATATGTGTGTCTACAAGGTTCAGACCATGTTGAAAATAATAACAAATTTACTTTATTTAAATTTTTCAAATTGAACCAGATATACAGGTTAACTAATAAATTCATACATAGTATACATCTTCCTACTTGTAACTATAAGTGTTTAATGTTATGTGTATTCTTTTACCTCATTACATCAACATGTACACATTCCAATGTTTAATATTATTTTTAATATGCAGTGGTGTTTCTAGGATTTTTCTTTGGGGTACAGTAGGAAGTAAAGAATTAGTTGGAGGGGAAAGAGATTGTGCATCAGAAGGAGAGTCAAGTGTTGTTAAATGCAAAAGAAATAAGTTTTTTGCCATAAAGAAAGGTATACTTATTATTTTTAATTATCAAAAAAAGCCAAAATTATGCTCAGGCTCTCTTTGCACAACTTCACAATAGTCTGATGCTGTTTCAAAATACTGGTAAACCCACCACTAGGTCTTGTCTGATTAGAGATAATTATTTTAGTTCAAGTTTAAATGTATAATACAACTACATAGCCTGTCCAAAATAATTAACACTTTCATGTCATTGGGAGTCACAATGTAGGGAGAACTTAGAATTCTTATAGGATTGAATCCTGTTATCCTAGATGGAGAGGGAGGTCTGTTGAGAGGATAGAGCCCTCCAATAGAGGAGTCTGTCCCTCATGCCACTCTCGAACCTTTTAGATACATTTATTCATAATCATTTAAAACCAGTTATCTATACACACTTTGTCGTCAAATGTAGACTTGTTTTCACCTTAAATGTGCTTAATTTGTTTGACCATTTATTTAAAAATAAAGTATTTTTTCCAAGGTCTCTTCCCACCAATAAGAAAAACTGTTTCTATTAATTGTTATGACATTTTCACTGACATTAAAAAGGCACAACAGAGCTTGGGACTGTTGTCCACAGCACAGTGTTCGTTATGATGACTTAACTGTTGAGGAACGTCTGTTTAACATTAATTTAAACTAGATTAACAAACTTGTAGATTTATATACTAAAAATGGCTAATAATAGGTATAAAAACTCTTAACTTGATGATGACCTAAAGAGGTCAAAACATTGTTACTTGTTTTGTGTTTTAAACAAACGTTTTTAATGCCAATATCAGCCATCTCAACTATATATTTAATTCAAGTGGGTTCATGAAACTTGTAAGATGTTTATAGCTCTTGACAAAGTTGTAATAGCAGAATAATGCACTAATAAGGATGTGTTCTGGAGATATAGGTCATTGTGTTATTTACATTAATAAATATGTCTAGTAATAAGCTCCAGGATGCATTAGAAAAAGTTAACAATGATGTATTTTATTATATTAGTTAATAACAAACAAAAAAGAAAGAAAAAAACTATTCAATAAGTACTGAAACATTGACATTTTTGTAATATTATCATAAGCAGTGTAAAAGTTATAGAAAACTAATGTATTCTTTTGTACTTTTGTGGATTGTAGTAATTTTTCAGGTGATATTTCTAACACTATTCAATTACCTGAAATTATATTTCATATACATAATTATTTATAGGTAAAAGGATGCTTAATGAAAGATATTAGAGAGGAAGTAGACAGCATTCTTCACCTTCTGGATCTTCAGAATAAAAGGAGTGAACTAGCCCAGAAGTTATCTGGTGGAATGAAAAGGAAATTGTCCTTGGGAATAGCAATGATCGGAAAATCAGAGGTTACTCCATTAAGGAAATATAAGACATTCAACATCTTTTGGAACATTAACATAACAGCAAATATTTTCAAAATTTTACTATCTTTTCAATTCACATTTCGATGGAGATTTTGTAGGCATTAGTAGGAAGAAATTATTTAAACTTTCTTAAGAATTTATAAAGATTGTTTGATGATGAAGGAATTTTACTAGATATTACTTCTCTGCTCTAAAATAACTGAAATGATGAATATGTTTTAAAGTATTAAACATTATTTTTCCAAACTTTTATGAGACAGAGATTGGTATTTTACCAGTAACAACTTTTCATCATTAAACACCAAGATGCTTGGAAAACATATTTGTTATGAACAATTTTTTTTTCTACTCTTACTTATAAAACATAAAAGTTAAGTAGAACATTTGTACGTTTTTTAAATCTATTAAGTTTTCAAATTATCTACTTAAAAATGTTGTATAATTTAACCTTGAATTTTCATAAATGAATAGTAAACCACGTTATTGAAATTATATTTGTTTTCCCATTTCTTTCACATTAGAAAGACTTATGGTTCAACAGTAGCTCAAAATCCAAAATGTACTAAAAGGAATTTTGATATAAAGTAGAATAAATTTTTTTGATAAAATAAGTTAAAGACACCAGTTCTCTCCCTGAAGGAAAGGAAAATTTTGACATGATTCAAAAACATTATAAAGGAGTTTTTCTAGAGCAAACAGTATTTGACCACATTTTAAAAATCAATCTCTGATTGCAATCCAAGGAATAGTGAAATCTTTTGGGGAAAATCGTTGCCAACTTTTCAGCACAAATTTACTAAATTTTATGAAATTCCCCTAATTAAAGAGCATTTAGCATTACGTGATATTAGCTTAAGCAATTAGCATAAATAATGATGCTTGATATGGCATGGGGGTGATGACAATAAACTGTTAATCTAAATTCCATGGTGTTAGTAAAAAGGAAATTATTAACACTGTTTTAGAAAGGAAAAACTACCATCATATATTTTAAAGAATCTGGTTGGTTCTGTAAAGTAAAGTAAAGGTCTGTTCCGAATAATAGCTAATGTTGGTTACTATCAAGTGTCACTTTCTTATTTGGTGTGGTTTGTTGGTGTGTAATGACAAAAAGTCATGATATCAAACTAAAAACACCTTAGGTGTGAAAAAAAGTGTGGCCAAACTGGTAGCTACACTTATAGCATTGATAAGAATTTTACAGTAAATATTCATTCATTAGTTTGCTAGGTTACATATTTTATTTTACCCACCATCATCCCCAAAGTTGAAAAACAAATGTGGCCTGGCTAACTAATGAATGAATATTTTCTGTAAAATTCATATCAATGCTATAAGTGTAGCTACCAGTTTGGCCATAAATTTTGGTTTCATTCCTTTAAGTTGCATGCTGAATTCTCTTTTGGCTGCACCTTTTTTCTACACCTAAGGTGTTTTTGATTAATTATGTATTCTCATTAATTGCTGCATTTGTTTTTATAGCATGAAAAGGTTTATTGTTTACATTGCAGGAGGGGTCTGTCAGGTTTAAAGCATGAAGTATAAATAATAAATCTTTTTTTTTTGCTTGTTTGTTTAAAGTTAAGCACAAAGCTACACAATAGACAATCTGTACTGTACTCAACATGTTTACAATTTTGTCATAAGTGATATGACAAAATTATTAACTGTTTTTGTTTTTTTTTAATGTAGGAATTATGATCTTGAGTAAACAATACAATTGCACATGATAGTGTGTGGTGCACAGATTTGTTAGTGTTTTTGATTTTTGATATAAATTGTTTGATTGCTTAATTTTGCTCAGAAATTTTCTTTTAAAGCTACTTCACAGTTTACTGTTTGTTCAGTGGTCATTCTGCATGAGATATGTACATATAATTAAAACTGTTATAGGCTTTCAAAGAAGGTTTTTATGAGCAAAAATACAATACTTTGAACTGTACATCAGAATAAGCAGTGATATTTCATAAAACAGCTCATTTAAATTGTGAATTATAAACCAAGTACTAAAGAAGAGCTGCAGTATACTTTCCAAATCTTCAAATTTTCTCAAACTATCAGTTTATGGGTTTTAGTTCTTATCTTCTGCGAATGCCAACAAAGCCAGTATTTAATAGAGGTAACAAACATACATACTACTTGACACTATACTTGGTATACTGCTGGTTCTATACAGGTATTATCGGTATCATTTTTTTCTATTGATGCAAAGTTAATTGTACTACCACTAGCTGTTGGTGGCTTTTCCCTCCAAGCAACTGTAAACTTATGCTGTTATACTAAATGTTATACAAGATTATAGTAGTGTTACTATGATCCAGTGCTCAGTCAAACAGAAAACTTTTACCTTCCACAGTTTGTCTAATTTTGGAATATTTTGTTAGGCACCCCATATTTTTCCACAATATATTACGATCACATATCTTAATCTTTATTATTCAATCTTAGTCATTCTTAGATTTTTGTAAACTTTAAAATATTGAGGAAAGAATACTATTTAACAGTACTCATTTATAGGTCTGGCCATGCATATATGTAAAAGAAGTAAAGATTTGAGATAGATTAATACAATTTTAGGCTGTCTATTCAAATATCTAAAGTAGATGATGTTGAAACAGTTCAATATATTTATTTGGGCTGGATATTCATACATATCTAAGATAAATAATTTTTTTTGAGACAATTGAATACACTTGTGGGTTGGTTATTCATTGAGTCGAAAATAAACACTTTTATAGTTATTAAGTAAAATAATTACTATAAAAGTAACTATTATTCAGATCAAAAACATTACATTTAAAAAAAATATTACTGTTTGTAGGTCCTCGTATTGGATGAACCCACATCTGGTATGGATCCTAGTGCTAGACGTATTATCTGGGATGTTTTACAGGGTATGAGACAGAGAAGGACCATCCTGTTGACTACTCATTACATGGAAGAGGCTGATACACTCAGTGACAGGATTGCTATCATGGCTAATGGAAAAGTTCAATGTTGTGGGTCACCACTGTTTTTGAAGAAAAAGTTTGGTATGTAAAATTATGATTGCACGTACCAGTAAGCTTTAATACATTTCTGTGTTTTAGTTAAGATAATTTCATTTAATAAACCAGTAACATAAAAATGTAAAGAGTACACATTGTATCATATTACGTTTACTTGTATGTTTTTGGAATGATGTTATAACTTCCAAGAAATTTCTCAATATTAAAATAATTCTTTATTCTGACAACAGAACTGATCCAATAAATTTTCATTAAAAAAACTCTATTATTCTTATATCAGTAAGTTGTATTAATATTGACTAATAAGCCAATGTACTTGAATACATAATTTTTAATTAACATATTTCTGAGCTCTGGTCATGTAGGCAACATTTTTTACTTTTTCTCTATGCGAATCAGTGAATTATAATACAATTATAATTCACCTGTAGTTGCCATTTTTGACAAAGGCTATGATCTTGCTAATTCCCGGTAGAAATTCTTTCCGAAGAACTTCAGCAATACAAGTCCTTTCTTTATTAAACCAGTTTATTCTTTTTCGATACAAACTTTTAGTACACAGTAATTCCACAGTCAGTACGTTTCTCATCACTTTCAACTTAACGACTTTTATAATACACGCTATAAATCATGGAGTTTCACAATCTCGATAACTTTGCTCTATACGAGTGCAAAACACACACTAGCCCGAAACTCACTGTAACTAATGTTCGTTTATCATACATACATACATTCCCACAGGCTTTCTCTGTCAGGCTTATATACTAACAAAGAGGCATCTCGATCACACTTGAGCTTCACTGATAATTCGAGAAATTCAGTCACGCATGAGCTAGCAGCGTCATGTGATTTCCGTTGTTGTAACACTGCCCCTTCCTTAGTATTGTTCATCCCGAACAATAGCCACTTACTTTAAACCAATAAATAACTAACAATAACTTAATTAAGTGTACAGAATTTACAAACACAAAACTAAAATACAAAAAAATCTCTTAATTTTACAGGATGTTTCATCTTTCGTACTGGTCTCCATCTCATTGGCTTCTGCTTCAAATAGGATTCTTCTACTCCATCAGGAAATGTCCCATTATCGATAGCAGTCACATTAGTGGTAATAACTTCATTAACGGCTTCACTGTTTTCCCTTTTAAACCGGGTAGAGTTTCTTCTTGACAGTGGCTTTTACAGGTAACACATCTTCAGCAGCGTCATTTGTTCTGTTGTTCACTTCGTTCCAACTGAAATGTCCTGGACCATGATAATGCCAAAGCCTGTTGGCATGCGCCACCTTTGGCTTACCTCGCCGACCACATTTTATTTGGAAAGTCACGTCTGAGAGACTATCCACTATGTTATATGGGCCTTCCCATGGAGAAGACAACTTAGGAAACTTCCCTTTGGTCTTCCTGGGATTATACAACCACACCTTGTCTCCTGGTACAAAGCTGACTTCAGTAGATCTCTTATCATAACATAGCTTCATGGAATCAGCAGACGTTTTCAAGTTTGAATACACTTGATAATGAATATCACCCATCCTTTCAAATAACACTTTCACGAACTCTGATACATTTTCAGGCAACTCTTTGCAAGGTGGCCATTCTGTTATCAGATCCACTGGCAACCGAGGTTCCCGACCAAACATCAGCTTTGCTGGAGTGTATCCAGTGGCTTCATGCTCTGCTGTTCTTTCGGCCATCAACAGTGGAGGGAGTAAGACATCCCAGTCATCTTGGCAGCTATTACAAAACATTGCCAATTCCTGTACCAGTGTCCAATTGTACTTTTCTACCAGCCCATCAGACTGTGGGTGAAGTGGCGTTGCCCTGGTGTTTCGTATGCCAAACAACTTGCAGCATTCATGGAACACAGCTGATTCAAAGTTACGGCCTTGATCTGAATGCAGTTCATATCGCATACTAAGCCTGAAGAAGAAATCACTAATAGCTGAAGCTACAGTTGTAGCTTCCTGATTTGGTATTGCAAATGTCTCAGGCCACTTGGTGAAATAATCCATCACCACACAAATGTACTTGTTTTCAGCACGAGTTTGGGTCAATGGACCAGCAGTGGCAATGGCTACTCTTTCCATTGGTGCGCCAACTTGATATAACTTCATTGGAGCACGTCCCTTATGCTTGGGTCCCCTTTTAGCACAACATGTACTGTAGGTCCTGCACCATTCTTCCACATTTTGCCTCATACCTATCCAATAAATTCTCTGCCATAGGTGACTCAATATCTTCTTAACTCCAAGATATCCTCCTGTTAAACTATTGTGAGATTGACGCAGTACAACTTCCTGTAACTTTCTCGGTATAACTGTTTGCCAGGTCGTCACTTTCCCATCTGCAGTTTCCCATCTCTGGAGAAGAATACCATCTTCAAACTTCAACTGTTCCCATTGTGCCCAATAGTTCTTTGTCACAGGGCTTAAGCTAGACAACTTCTCCCAAGCAGGGTGCAAAATACTTGCTTGTAGAAAATCAATTATTGGCTTAAAATCTTGGTC